CTTTTAAAGGTGGGCTAAAGTTAAATTCAGGTGAAGGTTATTCTATAAAACAATTATTCTAATTAAATATATATATAATTGGGTTATAAACTACTTAAATAATATTCCAGAAAATTTTTTAGTTTTATACGTGTGTTGAAAATAATTATAGATAAGTTTGATTATATAAGGAAGAAATCTAATAAAATTAAAAATCATGCAATAATTATTATTCAATAATTATTATTCAATAAGTTACACGCTTCGCCATTTATATAGTAAAGGAAATTCTGAAAGATTTACTTTTAAGATAGAGATAAAAATTAAAGAATTACTATAATAACTATAAAACTTTGATATTTATGAACGGTTTTTTTAACAAGTGAAAACTGGGTATATTTAATTTTTAATTTGAAAAACAAATTAATTATACTAAAAATTGATAATTCTAGATTTAAAATATCAAAGAATACATAGGATTTTAATGTAAATGTAAAAGGATATCGATGGTCTTTTTCACGAACAATATTACCTAGAGCGGTTATAGACAATTATACGGACCACACCTTTGATTGTTTCTAAATCCTACGGACGATTAAAGAAAAGGACACATGTGAAGAAAAACCACATACAGTAACAGTACCTTTATCTTACCATAGTTTTTTATAAAGAATAGTTTTTATCATTCAATATCTATCTGATATATTATCACGCAACACGTAGCCAATTTCAAAATTCGTCATTAATATAATCTTAAACAAAACGAAATAAATTTAAATATCTCTTGTCGTGTTTTTAAAATAAAGGTTATAGTTTAAAAGAAATTTTAAAACTTTATATCAGTTTATACAAATAAAAAAAATAATAGTAATTTCGTATTAATTAGGCCAAGGGGCTAAAGTATGTACAGTTTTTTTAGGTGATACGGATTAGAAAACACCAATAAAACCTTCATGAATATTGATAGATGTAATAATTTATAATTTAAACGAAGCTGTGTAATTTATTACGGTAAAAGTGATTATGATACTTTTATTTAATGTATATATATATATATATTTTTTAAAATTCTTAATCTTAGGCAATGTGGATTAAAACTTTTAAAAATTCTGATTCTAAGTAAGCTTATTTAATAATAATGGTAAGAACTGTATTAAAAAATCATTACAACACAAGAAACTAAAAGTAATTCTTGTTATCTTTCTAAATATTTCTATCAACGCGTTGTAAGAGCCCATTAATTAGCATAGTTTAAAGAGAAAGGGGGTCGAAAAAAGTACACTATTGTACAATACATGACGGGGTGGGAGGAAGTCGAAGCATTGTCTTCGTAGACTTTTTTTAAAAAGATATTAGCAATATACGAACTTGTTCTTATAAGTCTACTTACAAGTAATGTGAATAAACTACCAGAAAAATTTGCAGACCTTTTTTAAAGTCATTTCTTCAATGTCAGGAGGATCCTGAACTATTGTACACGTAATTAAAGAGAAAGACTGTATATCGTTGTACACAGTAGAGAGATAGGATGTCAAAAGTGACTCAACAACTTTACGCTTAATTAATGGACGGCCCTTAACACACTTAAATCTATTTGTTAATTGATAACTTTATTATAATGAAAATAAAGTGTAAATCTCAATAAAAATGTTAAAAAGTGTAATGTAAAATTTACAGAATCTTAAAGATAATAAAGAATTTATTTCTTACGATTCTTTAATACTGAACAGAGGATATTTATTGTGTAATGAATTGTAAGGAAAATGATAAAGAAATGAAGAAAGATAATTTAACTGTATATTAAATTATGTATATGAATAAAAATGTACAGTACAGTACATTATTCAGCCCAATATTCTAATTTTAAATCAAGTAACCTATATTAGTAACTATAAAATATGTTTACCTATTTTATCTTTTTCATAATAACAGCTACATTTACATGTTTATACGATTATGTATTTAGTTACGTGAGTGATGTAGACTTATCGAAATTTTGCATACAAATATCATTTATATGCATAATCATTATATGATGTTTCCTTTGAAAAATGTTGAGTTATTTTTAGATATAAAAAAAAGATATATACATTTAGCCTTCATTTTATTTGTTTACGTTTGAATGTGATTTTATTTCCTTGTTTAAATCATAAAAACGAAAGTATATCTTTTCTTCTCACTGAAATAAAGCCTGCCAGAATGATCAAATAGGAATTCTAGTCTTGAATAAAGGTTAACTTGTCAGCTGCTATTTGTTAATGATCCTTGAATGGGTACTTGCAATGACACGTATACCCAATTCAGTTGCTTCTAACAAAAAAAATAAATTTTAAAACAGGGAAAATACCGGTATACATTACCACATAAAATACTAGTAGGGAATTTTAATATTAAATATTTTAGAATATGTTAAAAATGATNCTCTTGTTTACCTGACCCGAGGGAGATGGAAATACCAGGTGGAGAAAAATGGGTTTTTTCCACATTATAATTAACTGTATAATTAACTCCAGGATCTCACACTATTAATTAATGCAATAAATTATTAACACTAATCGGCCGATTAATCGGTATCGGCCGATAATGCATGGCCGATTAATCGGTAATCGGTAATCGGCCATTTTGCTTATCGGTGCATCCTTAGTACTGATTTATCATACTAGCAGATAGCAAAAGAAGTACCGATAGCAGCGTGTAATACCGACAATTACTCAATAAAATCACTGTAGTTCAGGCGAGAATTCTGGTGAATGGCACAATAAAAACGAACTGGGCCACTATTGGCCACAGCAAATGTCATGGATCTATTGAAAACGATGTAAAAAAACAAATGGGATGGGGATTCCCTGTTTCGTGTGAGACCGTCTTTCGAAGAAACAGACAATGCCCGTCCAGGCAGGATATGTTTTTGTCAAGAAATGAGACAGGGAGCGAATGATAATATTCTGAAAGGGAAAGGTAGAAACGTGGTTATGAAAAGGGTATATTTAAAAATTGATACTAAATTCAAAGCAAGAATGAGGGAAGAACGTGAAGACTGAGATATACCAAACAATTTGAAAAACATAAATACTATAACATGAATGCTAAGAATATAAAGCTTAATGTTAAGTTGAGCTATAGTATCTTTAACAATAGAAGCAGTAATCATACTTACTGCATAAGTCTTCAGCAGATTCAGTAACTCATGTAAATATTGAATATCACCGGATCCAAAACAGACACCCGAAGAACATCAGAATATTATAAATTTTCATAAACTTAAATGTTAACTGAAGTATGAATCATATAATAAACGTGATAATTAATAACCTAATATTATTCA